AATGTCAGTAATGCCAAGATTGAGAAATCCTGGTCTATAGCCATCCTCATCACTAATGCCTCCTATAGACCTGCAGGATATTATCTCCTGCATCAACTTTTCTCCTTTGATCATTCCCATTGATATACAACAATGCTGTAATCTTTTTTTTTTTGACCTCACATCTCCTTCCAAACATCACCCTTTTTCTCAGCTCTCCTACACAGCAAAACTCTTTTAGGTTTGTCTGTATTCACTCTCTTATGCCTCTCCTGCCAATCTTTCTTAAAACTACTTCAGTATTTTGCTCCTACACTATGAAGGCTGCTCTTACCAAAGTCACTAACAAGTTTGACACTGCCACATGCAATGGTGACTTAGTCTTCAGCATTTGTCCAAGTTGATACCTGCCTCCTCTTTGAAACATTTAACTCACTGGTTTCCAAAATGACACAGATCTAGTACTCATACCTCATTGGTTGCTTCATCTGCTAGTTCCTATTCATCATCCAACCTCTAATGTTAAAACGCCTCAGAGTTCAGTCTTGGACGTCTTCTCTCTTCTATCTACACTCATTCCCTTGGTTATCTTGTCTTATCTCTTGGTTTTAAATGCCATCTATATATGGACGACTCTAAATTTATTTCTTTAGAACAGATGTTTCTCCTGAACTTCAGATGGATGTATGTAATTATCCTATCTGATATCTACACTTGAACACCTAAATGGGCAGCTAGCTCACATTTAACATGTCCAAAACTCAACATCTGATCTTCCCCACGAAAATGCTCTATTTCTTTTCCATTTCAGTAAATAACACCTGTTCATTTGCAAAGGTCAAAATATTGTGACTTCTGTTTTTTGGATCCCACATCCAATTCATCCGCAAATCTTATACTTTACATTCAACAGATTATCACAAACCACACCATTTCCATTTTGGTGTAAGTTAACATCATCTCTTGCTACGATAAATGCAAAAGCCTCCTAACTGGTCTCCTTGACTCTTTCTATGTCCCCAAGGAGTCTATCAGATGTCAATCCTTTACTTAAAACCATGTGTGACTCCCCATTTCCCTCAAAATTAAAAGCCAATATTCTTACAATTGTCTGTAATATCCTATGCCAGTGATTTTCAACCATGTGCTGCAAAGTTTTTTTTTAACCTACATTATTCAACTTTATTTTTTATAGACTTGTTAAGACAGACTTTTTTCCCCTGTAAGAATTTTGAAAACATGTAATACTTGATTATTTAGTCAGGGGCACTGACCTCTTTTCCCTTATACTGTCAAATTAAAAAATGACAACAGCCAACACAATAAAAGCTGTCCGGTGTGAATGAATCAAAATTGTACCTATTTTGTCAGATAGGCAAAAGATATATATTTTTTGGTGTGCCACAGAATTTTAGTAATTAGTTTATAAGAGATAAAAAAGGTTGAAAATCACTCTCCTATGCTATATTGCTTCCTAAGTCCTATTTAACTTCATCTCCTGCCTTATTTTGCTCTGGCCATCTTGATAATGGACATCCTTCTATTTGGAATGCTGTTCTCTCATATAGATACATAATTTACTACCTTACTTCCTTTAGATCTTTCCTCAAATGTGTCCCCTTTTCAGCAGGTCTTCCCTATTTTATAATTGTAATTCTGTTTTCCATTACTTAATTTTCCTCCAGAGTATTTCCTCCTTTCTGAAAAGTTATATGTTTTGTTTATTTTACATATTACCTGTCTCTCCTGCTAGCATGTTACGCTCCAGGAAAAAAGAAATATTTTCCTTTGTTTTATTTTTTGCTAAAAGAGGGTCTTGTTCTGTAAGAGTGTAAGCACTCCAGTAATGGTTGAATTAATGCCCTCTTCTTCAGCCTCTTATACTTGACCTCCTAAAACTGGCTTCGATGGTCCATTACTCAGGGTTTAATTCCATGGTCTCTTTGATTGTTCTTGCTCTCTTTACTGAGTCAGAGTTGAATACTATTTCATTGACACTGATCTTAAGAGTCGAGAATGGCATAGGACTCTACGATAGACAATTGTGCAGAACTGCCAATTTCCATTAGTAATCCTGAAATCTAATTTAAAGAAATACTTTACAGCTAAATCTGGGTTTTAAAGAAATAAACTATTAAGTCCAAACCATTGACTGCATGTCTTCCATTTCCTTTATACATGACATTTCAGGCAATCTTTGCAATAATGACACAACTATCCATATATATAAAAGGCTAATATGCAAAGTGTCCCCTTGGAAATTCAATCGCTCGTTATGACGTGCGCTGACCACCAGGGGGTGGCGCAGAACGAAGGAAGGCCCTGACCAGCAGTTGGAAGGCCCTGACTGGCTCTGATAGCGGCCAGGCCTAGGGACCCTACCTGTGCATGAATTTCGTGCACTGTGCCTCTAGTATACTATAATCCCCAAAGGCCAGACAGGAGTTAGTAAATTAGAATTATAGTCTCAACAGAGGCAATGATATAGGATTTCCTTTTAAATGGAAACTGTTCTGGCCAGATTACATAGTGTCTTGTACAGAAATTATATGTGTACATATTTTCTTCCCACTGCCTTTGAAGATTGGGACTGTGTTTTATTTATCTCTGTGTATCACCTGCCATACACAACATGTAGATAATAAGGCAGGCTTTTTCTTTTTAAGCATGAAATTACATATGTGGAATTACTTCAGAAAAACATGGTGTAATATAAAAATACTGCCTATTTTTTATCATAAGATGAAGCTTAACTGCCCCCCTCCACCCCCTGGTATATTTGGCAAATGTGTAAAGACATTTTGGTTTCTCCCAGAAAAATGGGAGAAATTACAGCTTTTCTCCCTAAGAACATATTTATTTACTTACTTTTATTTTTTTAAAAAGTCATTCATTTTCCTCCATTTCCTTTTCCCCATTATGACCAAACTACCATTGATTTATCTTATAATTTACAGATCTTAAGCTTGGAACTTAACTATTCTCCAGCATCCAATGATACCACAGCCTATCACACTTTTTGTCCATATTTCTCAGCTCCATCATTATCATGTGTATTTGTGAAGCCATGATGTTAATTTTAAATGAAGGGACTCACTAATGTTACATTATAGTAAAAAGGGGTATATTCAGCTTCTTACCAGTACATCATGCACCAATGCTTGATATGTCCAAGTATGGTGTAAAGGAGTTGCCAAATCTATGTTTCTGTCAACAAGGACTAATAAAGGCCTTTGGAAGCTGTAAATATTAAAAACAATTATATAAATCTTGATGCCAGTGTATACATCTACATTTTTCCAATACTTTCCAGTATATGTCATTTTGATATGAACAAAAAGTATGGCATTCCATAATACTTTGCTTTTTAAAAAAATTTTCTAGTTCAGTCAGAGAAGTAAAGTAATGCTTTGGACTACTTAGAGCCTGTGTAAAATACTGTATTATGTTTTACTTAGGTACTTTTTAAAGGGAAAAATATCTATACAAATGCTCTTACTGAATAATTAGAGTTATCAAAGAAAGAATAAGTTACTTCTAACCAGATTTATATTTCATATTTTTGAAAAAAAGAAAGGCCATTGTTAGAATCTTATAAATTTACACAAATGTTTGACAGTTTTGTCAACTGCAAATTATAATTTTTTTCCTGTAAACATAAATTCAAAAAGCAGACTCTAAAGAGTCTCATAAAACTGTATCAAATTATAATTGCATAAAACTAAAACATCATGCCACAATGGTACCTAATTATATAACTATTCACTTTCCAGTCACTTGGAGTAAAATATTGTTTTACTCCATTATTATAATTTAGATGTGAAATAGACTACACTTAAAGCAAAAAGTCATTTGGTTATACCATGTGTCTTCAAAAGTTGTAGAGCTTTGCTTTAAAGGCACTACTGTATCAGAAATACATGTTAATTTTCAGAAGTCATTGCTATCTGATTATATTAACTATATATATTTTGTTCTGCCAAGATACCTCTGACCATTTTAGTTAACTCACTCCATCCTACTGCGTGCAAGACAGTGAACTCTCCCTGAATATAAGACTAGCAATAAAAATTAGAAGTAGCACCCTTACCACTTACTATCATTTATTACTCCAGAGCTAGGTGGAAGGAAAGCAAGGGAAGATAGCCTAGGGCAGAGTTTCTTAACTCAGCATTATTGACATTTAGGGCTGGATAATTCCTCATTATGGAGGTCCTATACGCTGTAGGATGTTTAGCAGCATCCTATAACACAGCCCAGTAGATTCCTAGTTGTGACAACCAAATATTTCTCCAGATACTACCAAGTTCCCATTGAGAATCATTAGCCCACAACTAACTGTATTCAAATGTATTTAACAACAGTCCCTCAAGGCTGCTGACCACTAATTAAAATAATTTAGAAATGCATCCAACAAATTAAAAATAAGACAACTATATTATAATAATGTAAATTTTTTCAAAAAAATTATTCAAATAGAAGTGTCTATATAGTGGCACTATAAAAAGGAACTATTAAATAGGGTATGACAACACAGTGATTGCTTCTGTTGCAATAACCAAGTGAAAATGTGATGTTTCTGCTCCACTTAATGAGAAACACTGTGAAAAATATTTAAGAATATTTGAGTATTCTTCCCTTGAAATAAATTCATTTGTATGAATTTCTTTAATTCTTCACTCCAATATCATCCATTATTTTTAGT